GAAGTTGAGAAAGTTATTACTAATTTTGCCATTTGCCAAGAGGATGGGACTTGATTGTGCATTTCTCAGCTTCTGTTTTGTATTGACCATTTGACCTATTTATCAATAAAATTTTCTTTATTATCAATAAAAAAAATGTCCCTAGATATATTTATATTTGTGAAAAATTCTCCTTAATTTACCCTTCAGGCGAAAATCCCCACTTGGCTATAGAGACTTCTCCAAACCTCAACAAAAACAAAACCCCCTTCGTTTGGGATTTGCTTTTTCACCCAAAATGACATATAGGAAGGATAAACATGTCCCTTATTTGTAAAAAAAAGTTGATATTGGAGAGAGAGAGAGAGAGAGAGAGATCCTTTGTTAGGAATTGCTTCACCCAAAATTACACATACAACTATTAGAATATGTAAAATCCATACAAGTTCCACCCTTTGCGTCTTCCAAAATCATGCATATCCCATTACAAGCTCTATTAAGATTTTTCCCATGACATTTTATATTTTTAGGAAAATGTTTGATCCTCCTCCATTCTTCCTTTGAGGGCCCAGAATCTTGTTCAAGTTCCCCCTTGGCTATATTAGAGGCTTCCCTAATACTCCAAAAAAAAAAAAAAAAAAAAAAAACCCCTTAAAAATACGTACCTAGAAGAGATAGTAGTTCTTACTCTAAACGGAAAACACACACATATATATATATATATATGTATACATTAAAATGTGTTCACATATGATTTCAATGGCAATTGTTGCCCAAAAGATATAATATATGCTACAATATTTAGACTAATTAATTGCTAGGATAATATATACATCACATGTACATACTAATAAATCTTATATATACATATATATACGGAGTTATATATCCATATATAAGGCAAAAAAAAAAAAAAATGAAGGGACATATATATACGGAGTTAGGTTTCTACAATATTTAGAAAGCCAAACATCGCTGCTTCTTTGATACGACCCTCGGAATGGATTTCCGGTGGCCGGATTGGATAATCGCTCTTCGAGTGAGCGTAAACTCCAAGAAATGAGAAATAGAGGAAGGGCTAGTGAGAATAGAGAAGAAAAGGGAAAACTAATTCATTTCATTGATGTCCCCCTTTAGCCAAGAATGGCTTACATATTTATAGGCACAAAAACTAACTAACTAACTATTTTTTTTATCACTGCTAATTAACAAATTCTAAAAATAAACTAATATTTAGGGGTGTATCATTCTTCCTTTCATTCTCTTGATTAAATGTGGCTGAAGGTGCAGTAGTTTGGGCAGTAGGAGCAATACATCACCAAAAGTAACAAAATTGTTGTAAATAATTTCACTGATTGTATTCTTCTCTTCGCCATTGTAGCTGAATTATTATGATCATGATTTAACCTTCTAGTGTTAGCATGCAGCCTCTCAAGGACTTCCTTGGCTACATCCCAATTTTCTTTGATCTTCTCGGTTTTTTTTTTTTTTTTTTTTTTTTTTTTTTTTGGGAGTGCACATAATCTCTTTCTCGTTTTTTAAACTCGTAGTAACTGCTGCAAAGACGAGTCCAGGATTAATGTTATATATGTGAGCCACTACTTATAAAAATACAAAATTTTCAACTTTTAGTCTTCGCTATTTTTCCTTCGTCGTTATATTTTTCCTTCTTAAATACTTGTAAATCCTTTGTCTTAATATTTTTGTCAAAAACATTCTGAATAAAATGTGGAAAGATAATCGTTTAACTTGACACATACAACATTTAATGGTATTAAAACAACCTATTATATTTTATGTTTTAATTGAAGTATATCGAAACAAAAAAAAAAAAAAATTGACAGGGAAAAAAAGAAAGAAAGAAGATTAGTACTGTTACAAGAACACGATTTAATACCCCAAATCACATACGCGAAGAAGCATTAAGCAGACTAATTAATTAGTCTTAACAGTCCCTGAACAAGTGAACATTAATTCTATGGATCGAATTCTGATCAATATTATTCACAATAGGTAAAACCCAGATATAACGAACAGGCATAAAAATAATAATAGTAATAATAAAAAACAATTTCGCTCCTTCAATTACAAATTCTTATTGGCAGCTAAATCTGCAACTTGTTATACTGAACTTTAGATTCTTGTATATATGTGGAAAAGTATAGTAATGAAATGATTACATAATTTCAAAGAGATCAATCATTTAAAATAAATAAATAAAATCGCGAAAAGGATGGTAATGAATAAAGGAGAAGTTACCTGTTGATGGTGGAGAACTGGTCACAGACTAAAGGAGAAATCTATGAATTAATTGGGAAAGGGGGGAAAAAAAAAAGAATACACGCAACCGATTGGCTTATTTATAATTGCCTATGAATTTGAATAATTAGATAAAGTTAATAAATTATTACTTAACACAAAATAAAACGTCAGTTTGATTCTCTCCAAATAAACCTTCTTTTTCTAAATTAATAAAACCAAAGCAACTAAAATAAAAATAAGTATTTATAGTACATGTGCCCCCTCAATTTCTTATGGTTTGAAACATTCATCCTAATTGGATTTTTTGTTTTTTGGAATTTTAGTCCTTCAATTTGTAAAGTAGTAGCGATTAATTGAATTGCTAAAAGATGTTCAATTGGATGGATAACAACACGTTCGAACTGAATTTCTTATCGTTCGACATTTTACCCCCAAAAATTTATTATAATTATTTTTTGTATTTGTAATTTAGTCCGTTGGAAGCCATTAATGAACACACATCTCTGATTTGTTATTGGCAAAACACCTCAAATATGCTCCTGAACATATGATGGACACCTCCAATTGCCTTCGGTTTGCAGGTGATAAGTTACCCTTTGATGGAGCTTCAATTTGGAAGAGAATTAAAAACAAGTAAAAAAACAAAATAAAGTTATTATGACTAGGTTGATCGACGCTCCATAACTATATTAGAAAGCATGGTTAGTGCGATCGGTATTTTGAGTAAATCGTGGACAGCCCTAATGGTGTTGCTCATGAAGAGGATCAATTTAAGAACTACGATAAAGATGAAACCAAAGCTACTGGTGGTTTAAGGTCACAAAAAAATTGATGAATTACGAGATCTAATTGTTGAAGTTTGATGAGAACTTAATTCTTCTTTTAATTGCATTGTTGATGCAGCATGAAGATTACGATATCTATAGTTCTTTAATTTTAAATGTTAGGAATATCTTTATATTCTTTTATTTAAATTCTTAGGATTATATCTTTATTTCGATTAGGATTCTTAGTAGTTACTGCAATACAGCCTATATATATATATACACACATATATATATATTTATAGATCTCCATTATCATTTCAAAGGTAATGAATCTCTTAATTAATTATTTACCTTTTTAAGGATATGGTGTTAGTTAATGATAATATGAATGCATTCAATAAACATTTATCCAGGGCATGTGTCACAATAAATTAAGACTTTGATCAGGATTGAATGTTTATTCTTTACAATAATAATATTCTTTATAACCGTGTAGAAATACGTACATATGATCAAAGGGGCAAAAGAAAATGAAAGGAGAAAAATAGAGTATGTGAATTCCCATCAATATTTGCTTATATATTCTCTCTTTAAGATTTGACAAAAAAAACAAAAAAAAAAAGGGTTATAGAATAGATGACTTGAACGAATAGTAATGAAAATAAGATATTAAGTTTGAATTTAATAGCAAAAAAAAAAGATAATAAATTTGAATTTAGAAATAATATCAAAGAATATGTTATGCACTGTTTGTATTTTTGAAAAACGGAAAAAAAATTTAAAAAACTAATTGAATTGACAAATTGTTCATGAAGATCAGATTCAGATACGCGGTACATAGAATATAACCAATCAATATACAATATTTTCTCCTTTCTAATAGTTATATTTTTTTCGTAATTTTCCTCTAACTCATAAGTGTACATTTTTTTTCGCTTCTTCTTCTTCTTCTTTTTCTTTTTTCAAGGAAAACAACACAAAGACGAACAAAAATAAATAAATAAGTTGGATTTGTGATGTTTACTAAGAAAGAGGAAGTTAGAGATTCTGAAAGAAGTGAATAAAGAGAGCGGTCAATTTTCAATATTGATGAGTGATAATTATCAACTCCTAATATGAGCTTTTTATCCACGGGTACTCTAATAAGGCGAATATTGGAATTAATTATTATTTATTATTATTATTATTATTTTTTTCTGGAAGGCTGGTATTGGGATTTATTAAATGGAGACAGAGGCATATCATAGGGGTGTTTATAGTATCTCAAGTCCCGAAGCATACCTAAATAAGAGCTTTTTATTTCCTCGTTCTATCTTATTATTTTTCCCTAAATGAGAAAGGGAGAAAACAGCTTTTTTAATTTTTTTAAACTTTTATTTTAGAAAAGAAAGCTCATTACCACTTGTTTCTCTTTCTACCGGAAAACCAAAAGCCTTTAAAAAAAAAAAAAAAAAAAGAAAGCCAACTCTTTTTCTGGGTAGCTTAATTAAGGGATTTAGATCCTGATCGTTCAATCCTAATATGATCTAATTTTCTAATCTGTCTCACCCTTATAACTAATTTGACATATATATCTTTCAAAAAACCAAAAAAAAAAAAACTGCTTTTGATCTCTAACCTCATTAGTTTCCCTATTCCTTACTTTCCTTCTTCCTCTTCTAGATTTTAGCAACTCTCCCTATTTATATTTCCAAAGATAATTTCCTTTTCTTCTTTATTTATTTAATTTTAAGTTTTAAGTTTTTTTTTATAAAAAAAAACCCTAAAAAACCGTAACATATATGTAAAGCTACATTCACGCTTCCTAACTTAAACAAAACAAAGAAAAAATCTCGTCTAGTCGGTTCCGTCTCTTCCCCTTGTTTTTTTTTTTTTTTTTTTTTTTTTTCGCTTCTTCTTTTTTGTGAGAAACTAAGCTGTGATCTTAATAATGTAGGAGAGAAAGAAGCTGCAACTAAATTAAACAAGGGACGGCTTTGCTTGATGCTGAAGATGAATCCGAAACCAGACCCCACCACTACTGATCATGACATGATCGACGGCCATGGTCAAAACATGATGATCAATAAGTTTAAGCCAGCTGATCATGTACAAGTTGAAGATCATGATCAAGATGAAGAATTACTGCCTTTTGTCTGCCCGGTTTGTAATAAGCGTTACAAGTCTGGAAAAGCCCTAGGCGGCCACAAGAGAATGCACAATCTCCCACCCAAAAACAACAACAAAAGAAAAGCAATTATTCATGACGATGAGGAGGAAGATGAAGAAGGAAAAGAGGAAGAAGATGTTCCGATTTGCCTGCTCTGCGAGAAGATTTTTCCGTCAATGAAGTCGCTTTTCGGTCACATGAGATCTCACCCTGATAGGGGTTGGAGAGGAATTCAACCTCCTCCTTCTGCAGTCTCTGAAGATCATCGTATGATTGGTGACGATGATGATGATTTTTTGGAAGAAACCCCAGAAAAAAGGCGGCCCGTACTAATGTCATCTTCTAATTCCCCTAAAACTCCTACTCCTCCCAAGCTTAATTGGTCCAGCGGCACCGCGAAGAGAGTCAACGGCAGCAGTACTACCAGCGGCTCCTCCTCCTCCTCCTCCTCCTCAGGCGCCTCGAATTTCAAGTACCATGCCCCGTGGAAATTGGACAACGCCATGAAGGAAGCTGCCATCAATCTCATGTTGCTTACTCATCTCAAACCTCGCTCTGAATCACTCTCCGTTCTTGATCGGATCAATAAGAGCGAAGGAGAAGTGAAAGAAGAAGGGGAAGAAGAAGAAGAAGAGAAGCCGGGGGATAAGGAGGAGTACTACGACCTGAGGAGGATAAAGAAGAAGCACTTGAAGAGCAAGAAAAGAGTAAAGAAGATGAAGTTAGCTGACCTAGATGAAGAAGAAGAAAAAGAAGGACAAGTGATTACTAATACTAGTAGTAATAACAGGGCAAAATTACCTGCAAGTAGTAGTATTCATCAATATGTATGCAGTGTTTGCGAGAGGTCCTTCCCAAGTTACCAAGCTCTAGGAGGTCACAGGTCAAGCCACAACAAGAAGCACATCAAGATCAATAATAAGCACGTGTCTAATTCTGATGCTGATGGTGATGATTCGTCGCGGTCCGCGGAAGCAATGGATGACAAAGGTGATGTAATTGAAGATGATCCTGCTCCTTCTGAAAAGGATGATAGTAAGATTTTTAATGACTTTGATCTCAATGAGATTCCCCATTCGGAGGATGGAACAAGTAATTGCAAGTAGCTCCTCTTTTTTGTTGATCTTTTAGCAGTACTAGTGGGAAATTAAAGAGTTTCTTTGTTTTTGTGTTCGCTTTTTATATGATGAATCTAAAACAAACACCATCCAAAAGCTCTTTTGGGCTATGAAGATTGATATATCTCTTTTGTTTCATTTAGTATAAAGTAGTGAGCTTTTCTTTCATAATCCTTCATTCTTCAATTTATGATCATCTTTAATATTGTTCCTTCCGCCATATATGTCTTCATGGGATCTTCTATATACATTGTGAACTTTTAAGTGTTAAGATTCGATCTGATTTTTCCAAGTAGGTACAGCAATTGATTATCTTATAATAATATATCGAGAATTTGAGAGACTAGTAACAACACATATAACAGCAAGATGTATGTCGTTCAGGGTAGAAAAAAAAAGTGACAATAGATTACTTTTCCTTAACATGGAAGAATCAGCTATATTCTTCTTTATTTCATATAATATACTTTAAACAAAAGAGGATTTGATAGAGATATAGGGATATCGGGCCACCCCACTTAAATAGATTAATCTTTTTAAGATGGAAACTTAATACCTTATAAAGTGAAATTCTTTTTCCTCACTTTTATTCTCATCTCTCCTCAAATTTTAATATGGTATCAGAGTCATTAGTCAAACGAATTAGGTCGATCCATCAACATACAAGATTAGTGACTCCTAACAGAGCATGTAAAATACCCAAGTCTCACTTCGTCTACATAAACATACATAAACATAACCACAACCATATAAGGATATTGAGTCACTCTACTTAAACATGTTAACTTTTTTAAGATGGAAGACTAAAAACATATAAAATGCAATTATTCTCCCTCACTTTTCTTCTCATCTCTCATCAAACTTTAATAAGAGAAAGATAATTTCTTTATTCCTCAGAACAACTTTTGTTTTAGAGGACGTATGGAATCCTGCTCCACATTATAGTATTTTCACCAGAAAAAACTTAATTGTGAGATCATGATCTGTCTAATTGAAGATTCTTGGTGTAGAGATGATAGGATTGTGTGGCAATGTTATTATTTTCTGAGGCTTATTCACACTTTTGAATATATATATATATATATATATGTATGTATGTATGTATATGTATATGTATATATATTTGAGGTAAGAGGTTATAACTCTCCAAGTAATAGTGTCTATCACCAGGTGTGAACATTATGACGGGTTGAACAATGTAGATTTTTAAAAACGAAATCATTGATGTAGAACAAGTTTGTGACCTCATAGGTATGAGCTCACTTTGATAATTGTAAAGAAATCATTGATGTAGAAATCATTGTTTTAGCTCACTTTGCTGAGGCTAGGATTTACCACCCCATATATGTTATCTTACCTCTCTAGTTCAATTCAGTTTTTTCTTCTTATTATCATATATATCTTTTTTTATGCAAAGCCCTTGCCTCATCCAGTTTTGTTCCTTCGCCATTTTTCCTAATTTCTGAACTTCTTCAAGAGGACAGAAATGGTTCAATCATTTGTTCTCAAATTAAAATGACTAGTAAATGTCGCCTGAAAAATAAAAAAAAAACCTTACGACGAAAAGAATCTTGAGCTTGCACTTTATCTAAATAATAATTCGGAAATTAAAGCAATAACCTAGTTTGTAGCTTTCCTTTTAATAATTCAAAGAATAAGGGTAGTGCGATAAGAAACAAGTCTTTTATATTTTTTGAAGATTCATAATTTCATTCCCTATAACTAAACCATTCTTTCACACGTGCCAGGATCAAGTTGAGTATGTTTTTAAGCACATTAATAACAATTTCTTTCTAATTCTCATCACTCAGAAACTGATTATTACCGGCTTTTAAATTAATACTCGAGACTATTAGTTACAATAACAGCTGTTATAGCAGCAAAACTAATCAACTAAATAACTAACTATTCATTACGGGACTTGCAGCCTATAAAACTGGGACACGTGTACTAGTCCTAACTAAGTGAAGTTTCTTCCCTAACAAGAGGAACAAAAATAAATAAATAAGCTGGAGATTCTGAAAGAAGAAAGAGCAGCTCATGGCTTCTTCTTCTTCTTCTTCTTCTCGTAATAATACAATGGAGGCAGAGAAAGAGGGTGCAAAGGATAGTAAGAATGGAGTCAATCCTAAACCAGATCAAGACCATGATGATCAACAACATGTTGATCATGATGGTGATCAAGTACACATGATGAACAAGCCCGATGATTCTCAAGTTCAAGATCAAGATCAAGATCATCACATGAAGATGGAGGATGAAGATGATTCTTCCGAAGCCAGCACTCCAAAAAGGCGACGGGTACTAATGCCGTCTTCTTCCGATTCCCCTAAAACTCATCCTGCTAATTGGTCCACAACCGCAACATTAGCTCATACGCTTACTCAAGACCCTCGAACATCGGTTTTGGTGGGATTGGGAGTGGGATGGATTACAGCATGAAGCAAGGTGTCATTGATCTCATGTCCCTCGCTAATCACAAGCCTCGCTCGGAATTAGTATCCATTCTTGATCTGATAAGAGAGGAGAAAGAAAAGGCAAAAAAACAAGAAGAAGAAGAAGAAGAGAACAATAACAAGAAGAGCATAAGGTCAATAGCTCCTTGTCTAATTCGGATGCTGGCAAGGATGATGATGATGGTGAGGAGTCATCATCGCGATCCGCAGATGATGAACAGCAGCAACGGATGACAAAGGTGGCGAAAAGTGTGATCATGGTAAGAACGAGTTTCGTTCGGAGGATTGAAGATTGAAGAACGAACTAATTGCAAGTGATGTGGTAATTAAGTAGGGTTATTAATGTTCTTAATTTACTAGTGGTAGTACGTAGTAGTTACAGTACTATTTTTCAGTTCTTAATTTTGATGTTAATTCTAGGAATGATCTTTTGGCTTGAACATTCTAATGGAGACGTACTTCATGTTAGCTTTCATTAGGGTTTTTTTTTTTTTTTTTGGGGTATTCTGGTGTTGATTTTCTTCATGCAAATCAGCATGATATTGATAGGTCTAGAAACAAACATCATGAAAAAGGCTCCATTTCTTGATTCATGATTTTGTATAATAAAGTAATGAAGTTTCCTTTCATCATCTATAATTCTTCAATTCGTGGTTCCTTCTGGTATATTAATATTTTTTCATGGAATCACTACATATGCGCGTGTCTCTCTCTCTCTCTCTCTCTCTCTCTCTCTCTCTCTCTCTCTATATATATATATATATCTTAAAAGAGGTGGTTCACCTCCATGGCATTCCCACTTCCGTTGTCTCAGAGAGGGACAAGGTTTTCGTATGCAATGGTGGCGGAGATCAAGATCAACATTACACGCGCCGGAACATCCCATCAGGCTCCGGCGTGTACCCGTACCCCTGCGCGGGCGGTTGGTATCCGTACCCTACCCGAGGCGGCGGGTACCCTTCCCCTCCATACGCCGGTGGAGCTGCCGCT